TTCGTTCATTCGTTCATTCGTTCGTTCGCGTTCGTTCGTAGATAGCGGCCGAATATCAAGTTCACGTGACGCAGCGCGTAAATAGGTGTGTACTTACACGACTACGTGAATTACACGTGCGACACGTACATCTGCTCGTTTGTTGGTTAAGTGTAAACAGAGATTCGCTTATCGCTGCTCCGACACGTCGCTTAGAACGTACACGCGCTGATGTTGGAGTCTCCGAAGTCTCTCCGTTCTCTCTCTCTCTCTCTCTCTCTCCTTCACTCTTTCTGTCCGTTTCTTTCCCCCCCGCCCTCCTCCCCACTCTTTCTCTACCTACCTATCTACTTACATATCTATCTTTTTTTCGGATTTATTCGAGAAAAGAAACGAACATTATGACTAGAACATTTTCTTTATTACGAAACTTTCGATCCATTTAACGTATCTTATGTTATTCGTTATGTTGATTTCGTAACAACAACGAAAATCCAGATAAATCTATGATTTTTATTCGCCTGGGACTAAGGGACTAAGAAGAGTCCGTAGTCCCTTCACTATTAGAGAGTCAAATTTTATCGATCGATAACCGCTTTAATTTGTGGTTAGAACACCAGAATCCTGAACTTTCCAGCAACGACATCGAAAACGACTAGGAAGCACGATCATACTTGACCTTTTTGGACATCCTCCTTCGTGTCTCTCTCTCTCTCTCTCTCTCTCTCTCTCTCTTCCTCTTTCGCTCTTGATCGATTCTTCACGTCGATTCGAGAAACTCGCTGATCTTCGATCGTTCGTATCTATTCTACTATATGTACCGCTAAATGGCTTTCGATTATTCTATGAGAAGTTCTATGTCTCTAATAGCGCCTTGAAACTTACCTCTTTCTCTCTCTCTCTCTCTCTCTCTCTCTCTCTCCACTCCACTTCTCTTCTCTTCTCTTCTCTTTCTCTCTTGAAACTTCTTCATATTCACGTTGTTAATAATTAATTGCTGTTGAATAATATTAAAGTATGTATCGTTTACGTTAAACCACTCTTGACGTATATATATATATATATATATATATATCGTAGACTTGTAAATTGTCACGTGTGACCAAACTTGGCATTTCTAGATGGAGAACGACGGAGTTAGAAAGACGGAGAGAACTTAACTCCGCTTGTCTCGAGCACTCAACTGAGATAGCGGGTTGCCTTTGGTCGACTGGAAGCCGTGTTCGAGATCAAACTTACCATTGGTTAACAATGTTTATAATTTAAGGACTTGTGGAAACAAAGAGAGAGAGAGACAGAGAGAGAGAGAGAGAGTCAAGGAGAGATAATAATAATCAAGAGCGAACACAGAGGTCAAAAGGGATCTTACGATATATATACATACATACATACGTACGTTAGTAAAGATCAAACAGTCAACGTCGACATCAATGTAATCCTGGATGAATCTGCGTCTCTGTTTCATGGTTTTCGGGATATATCCCGGAACATAGACGTTATCATCGATATTCGATCGATCCCTTAATCTTTGATCAATTTGGACGTGGCATCGAAGTTCATGACAATCAATCGTTAATGAATTGTCCAAGAAGTGCGACGTACGTACATACGTATGTATAAATATAAATTATCAAACGTCAAATATCGGTGATAGACGGTAATAGACATTCAGAAAGAGAGAGAGAGAGAGAGAGAGAGAGAGAAACCATGATTTCCGTTCACTGACCTAATTATGAATTTTCACAAATTTCATATTCAATTTCTACGATACGATTACAAACATATTGTATACCATTTCGTTATAGATATATATGTGCATATATATACATAATATAAAATAGAAACGTATATATGAGAAACACAATAGTACAATGAGAATATAATGTATTATAAACATGTATTGTATATATTGATCTGATATAAATCCATTTCGTTAAAGAATAGATAATAAATAGATAACAAGCTTGTTGTTGTTATCGACACGTAGAAAAAAAATTTATCTCTGTCCTTTTACGTGTAAGAACGAAGAGATAGGTAGATAGATAGAGAGAGAGAGAGAGAGAGAGAGAGAGAGAGGGAGGGAGAGAAAATTAAAAAAAAAAAAAAAGAGAAAAAAAAAAGAAAAAAAAACTGAAACTTCGTCGTCGTAAAAGAAAGAAAGAGAGAGAAAGAGACAAACGAATTTTCACCTTCTATCCCCTCTATACCAAATCCCTTCTTCAAATCGCAAATTGCGGATAGGCTGTCCTTTCCAATCAAGCTACCCCAGACTTTCTTTACCACCCCCGTTTACTCCGGTTCATACTCGATTCTTCTTTTCTTTCATCCATTCGTTTCGTTGTACTTTTCTACTCCCCCACCCCCCTCCCCGCCCTCCTACTTCAATTCACGATTTCTTTTTTCTCTCTCTTCCTCTTTCTCTCTCTCTCTCTCTCTCTCTCTCTCTTTCTCTCTTTCTCTCTTTCTCCGTTTTTTCTTTTACAAGCACAGCTTATAGTTAGATTGCACAAGACCGATCCGCATCTAAAAGAGAGCGAGAGAAAGAGAGAGAGAGAGAGTGAGAGAGTGAGAGAGAGAGAAAGAGAGAAAGGGAAGAGTCGTAACTTTTACGTAGCCCGCGCTACGCTTCGCTATGAATATCGATGCCGGGGAGTTTTAAGGAGAATTCGCTTTTCTGTAATTGAAAGAATTTTTGTCGTGCTGAGCCAGCTGGCCTGAGCATAAAAGATTTCGAATCCGAAAGCGCGTTCTTTCTATCTATCTATCTATCTTTCTCTTTCTCTTTCTCTTTCTCTTTTTCTCACACGTACGTTCGTAGCGGCTCTGTGTGTTTTAAAGGAAAATTTTTCGAAGGGATATAGTGTCGGTGACGAGGATTTTAATAAATTACCGAAACTCCAACTAGCTTTTCCTCTTTCTCTCTCTCTCTCTCTCTCTCTCTCTCTCTCTCTCTTTTCTCTTTCTCTCGTCTTTTTTCTATTCTCTCTTTTTTTCTGCTTCTCCTTTAATTCAATATTACCAGTCTTCTCCATGCCGAAGATACTAGTTATCGTTCGAATCTAATACATACTTAGGATTTTTCTTCTTCTTGAAAATATCCCTTGCACATTTCTTTTTCTTCTTTTATTTTTATTTATTTATTTATTTTTTCTTTCGTTAATTGTTACTATAAATTCATCGTTAAAATTTACAATGCCTATTCGTATTAATAAACGAACAAGCGAAAATTCGTTTTCAAATACTTTGCTATATGTTTATCTAGTGTTAATTTTGAATCATTTTATATTGCCATTCACGACGAAAGAGAGAGAGA